TTCAACAAGCCCCTGTATGGTTGCATCACCATTGAAACAGTAAACCTTGCGCATGCCTTCAATTAAGTTTAAAGTAATGATAATGATTTGACTATTATACCTGCAGTGTAGGGTTGACATGCTGGTGTTTCAATGATGATGCAACCCTACAGGGGCTTGTTTGAATTTATTTCATAGGTTCAAACCCAATAAAGGCTCAACCCTACACTAAATAATTTTTTAAATTTTTGTTCTAGTTTTCATCCTTTTTTTAATGAACAACACTGTTTTTGTTGAGCATTAATTTTTAAGCAGTTAATTGTTTGGTACAATTTTGAAGAGTATTTCTTGATTTTTAGGTAATCCTGAAAGTGCATCCAAGGCAGTTGAAAAGGAAGCATCCTAAACTATTGAAAAGTAAGTAAAATAAACAAAATTTTGTTAAAAACAAAATAATAGCTATATTTAACAGAAATATAATTGACGAGAGGAGTTTGAAATGTTGTTTTCATTACAGGAGGCCTAAAAGAAGACAACAAGAAAGTTACAAAATGAATTGTATTTTTATGAACAAGTGTGATTCTGAAACACTTTGCTACAAATAAGTTATAATCTGATTACAAGTCATGTTAAGAAAGCATGAAAATTTGACAGTATTGGAATGAAGGAACTTGACAGAAGTGGCATTCCATGCAATGATTCCAGGCTGGGTTAACTTAAGTTGAATAAGGGAAAGTTATGTTATATGTGTATGAGTCTTCAAAACTAAATTTTGAAAATTTGAATGGAGTGGTATTGTTTGTAAATTGAAGTGTCACGCATAATGTACAGGAAATAAAGAAAGAATTTAATTTTAAGCATTATAAACTTACCTAAGTTTATTGATGGAGCTCCAGTGTGAGATATAGAGAGGGACAGAGAGAGACGCATGGGGTGGGAAGGAGGAATTGAGGGAGGGGGAGAGAGAATGCTTGTATAAATCTGACAATGTATAGTGTACACTGACTCCTGATGTACACTTAACATAGTGAACTTGTGTGTTGTGTACTATGTAACTGAATCAGCAAATGTAGTTTGTTCGTGAGTATAGTTAAACTGGGTGAAGAAATATGGACTCTTCAAACGCATTACATGTACAAAAATATAAACATGACACTCTGAGCAATAAATATAAGTCTACAAGTCATATAGATACAATATAAAAACTGCATCTTTACAGCACATAATCTATTGCTTGCCCCTTCAATGCTTTACATTCTTCTAGTAGTTTTGTGTGGTAATGGAATAAGAGAACCAGGAGAGACTTGTGACTGTGGAAGTTTAGCTGTAAGTCTGTGAGTGTGTGCGTGTTCCTGTTCCTTTATGTGTGTGAGTGTGCCTGTGTCTGTGTGTGCTAAATTATGAGTATGTTATCAATTTCAAGAGTGCAATGATCCACGCTGTAATGCCACTACATGTGAATTGGCCAGTACTGCCCAATGCAGATCTGGAGTTTGCTGTGAAAACTGCCGAGTAATTACATTACATTATTATTAGAAAATGATTGTTTTTTATAATTAACAGTTCAAGTTCTGTGGTACTACATGTCGTAATTCATCTGGTATGTGCGACATATTAGAATATTGCACTGGTCAAGATACTGATGTAAGGATAGTAATAATAATAATAATAATAATAATAATAATAATTAATAAACTGAATTATTAAATAATTGTTTTATTTTTATTGCCCGACAGATTTAACACTATAAAATGGAGTATCATGTGATAATAATACTGTATGTTTATGTTAATGGTTTATTAAAAGCAATGTTCATTTTCTCTCATTATTTTTCCAGGCTTATTGTTACAATATGGTACATGTGGATCAGTGCAATCATTATTATGGGAATGGTCAGTAAATCTTCCTATACCTCCTTCTTTTATTGTCCCTCTTTCTTTCTATAGAATCAGTTCCTTTAATGATGTATGCTACACAAGGTTTAATACTCTTGGTTCTGTCTGGGGTCACTGTGGAGCTGATGGTACCAATTACATTCCTTGCACTACTGAGTAAATAATAATGCACTATAACTTTGGGGTTTATGGAAAATAAATTTTTCTGAAAAATTAATTTTCCCAGCAAAAATATCTCTAAATTGATTGTTTTTCATGTCTTTACACTTCATAATTTTTTGCAACATAATGGGCAAAACTACAAAATAATTCTTTTCTTCCACTCATAGGAATGCATTCTGTGGTTCACTCCAGTGTAATGGTGGCAGAATAATATTTAATAATGTTAATTCAAGGAGCAGTTTGACAGCTTATACTAGATTTGCTAGTGGTCAAGAGTGTAGGAGTGTCACTACACGTGCTGATGCTGATGAAGTCAGTCCTGGTTTAGTGGTTGATGGGGCTAGCTGTGGAACTGACAGGGTATGAAAAATTTTATAGAACTTTTAACTTTTGTGGGACAATAATTTTCAAGATCAACTTCACGCAAAGTTAAAACTATATAATTTTACTATACTCTGAAAAGATGTATCATTCCATAGTGCTTTATTCCATGGGCATAAAAATTTGTGAATTTGTCTAGATCTAATACCGTATAGGGCTTTTATTTTGTTGGTATGAAATTTTACAAATTTGTCTAGGTTTGCCATTTGTTGGTATAAATTTTTGTAAATCTTACCTTCTGTAGCCATTTTTTGTGTGCCACACCTCTTTTGTAGAATTAAATTTAATGAGTTTAACGACAATGCAAAAATAGCAAAATTTATTTTGAGTCAAGTATAACTCCTATACGGTATTTGTGGTATAAAATTTTATGAATATATCCTTCTGCCATTTTGCTGCACCTACAAACATAACTTCTAAAGTGTAACCCTTTTGCTAATCTCTTTCCCTTTTTTATTTTTTTATTTTTTATTCCGAGCTAGATATGTGTTAGTCAGAGCTATGTATCAGTTTCATCACTGGAGGGAGTCAGCTCTTGTCCTATTGGAAGTAATGGACAGACATGCTCTGGAAATGGCGTAAGAACTTCTCTCACTTTATCACTTTCTCCTGCTATTATTGCTAAGATTACTATACATGTACATTCAGGTTTCCCACAAAGCATGCAAACAGCATGCTTCATATGAGCTGACAAGTACAGTACATGCAACTTTAAAATTAATTTAAAAATTAATTTTGATTGAAATCAGCTCAAAGTTGATACACAACATAAGGACATATGTACCGTAGGTCGGGATATATTTGCGACTGCAATTATTCGTGGTCATAAAAAATTCAATTAAAAACCATGGAAACTGTTAGAGCGTTGCTATGACAATTAAGACCACATGTTTAGTGTTCAGCTATTCATTTGTTCTTTAGCAGCTACAGTGGAGCCATTCACCAATAGCGAGTCCTTCTCTATCTGTTAACTTCTTGTATGGACTGCTACCTCAGAGCTCTTTCAGCCTCTTTGCTGCAAATTGTTGTTGGTCCGCTTGGTGGTGATAATAAACCATGCCCAAGTCAATAAACACTAACTGGAATGGGTGGAGAGTCCCAAAATACGGCGAGGCACTAGTTCTGAAAAGAACCGGTAAAGCAGCTCCAAAGAGCACAAGGCTTAGTGACACAAGAAGAACAACAGCTCAAGAACACTGCAGCAAGGTGCTTTTCTTCACTATCGCGCCATTTTCAATTAAAATAACACCTCGGTTTCCATGGTTTTTAATTGAAATTTTTTATGACCGCAAATAATTGCAGCCGCGAATATATCCCGACCTACAGTATCAGAAAAAATTATTAAATACAGAATTCCTTCTTTGTGATTTTGTTGCTATTCCAGATATGTATTTGCAAGGTTTTTGGCCAATTTTTAAGCTCCTACTGATAAAAAGCTGCATGAGTACTATGTCCAAATTAGAGCTGGGCGATAGTGATAAAATCACTATCACGATATTTGCCTTAATTACTATCCTGATATAATAGCTTTTATGTGTTTAATTTATTAATTTTAAAATAAAATGATACAATTCAATAAATGTAGCATATTGTTATGTACGTATTATTGCTTGATGTGTTGTTTAACTAGTGAGCATAATTGTTGTTCATCAGTTTACAACATGGCCTGCTTCACTGAATCCTTGTATAAAGCTCTACCAAATATCACTCTTAAATTGCTACCATTACCATGACTATAACACTTAATGGCTAAAAATGTGGTTATAGCACAGAGCATGCTTATACTGGCTGGCTAGATCCACTATCACGATAGCTTCTATACTATCGCGATAGTGAATATATTTGAAACTATCGCCAAGCTCTAGTCCAAATCCTTGTCAGTTCATTTAATATAGTCTCTTTCTCCCTCCCTCCCTCCCTCACTTCAGGTGTGCAATAATTTAAACCAGTGCTCCTGTAATGTTGGTTACACTGGTAGTGATTGCAGTCAGATACCTGGAACAACAACAGCAACACCAGGTTAGTTTTGTAATAATTAATAGTAATAATTAATAGTAATAGTCATAATAATGAAAATAATTAATAGTAATTAGTCAATGACTATTCTAATTAATAATAAATGACACCAAAGTTATTGTAGTTTTGCCTTATGCTTGTAGATATACCCACACCATCCTCCAGTTCCTCCTCTACTGCCAATGCACCATCCACTTCCACTAGTATTGCACGACCCACTTCTACTATAAAATTGTAGATTCATTTTCTCTAGTAGTAATGTACACAGTCCACATCTACACTTTCTCCTTCCTTGGCAAGTCTTCCTCTAAATTAAGCTACTTCACTACTATTTCCTCTACCTCTCCCTCCTTATGATTAATTATTATAATTATTAATTATTATAAGTGAAATTGGAAAATACAGTGGGAATAAATCATTATTAAAGGGTTGCTAGCCAGCCCTACTGACACAATGATCAGAAGCAATGTTTAATCAGAAACAATCCATTAATTTGATGAACTATGATGGAACATCTTATGGAAATATGTACTAATTGCCAGATTATGCATGGTGCTAAAGTTCTGTGGAAAACCCAGTTCATGTATTGCATACATGCAATAATTTTGAAAGTGTAATTTTAGGTGAATGTGGTGAGCCATTTGCTAAGGTATTTTAAACCACTATGTGCATTCTCAATGGCACATAAGCTCAAATACCAAGTTAAAGCATGCCAATCCACATACCAAAAGTGCCAACTACAGGACCCACTACACACTATTTATTACGTATGAGAACTCTTATACTTGTAACTTTGCATTTTTGGTGAAACGTAATACCATGAATTATTTTTAGAAATTTGTACATTTTAAAAATTTTCTGCTTTATCAATAATATAAATCATAATATATTAGCATCACAGGATTCAGCACCTTGACAGTACATTTTAAAATATCATTTGAAACGTCATTTACTATAGTACAGCTAGTAGAGAATTTTCCTTTTTTATATGCTTTTGTAGAAATTTTGAACTAATTCCAACCAAAATTAGATTTTTTGAATATTCATAATTGTGCTAATATTGTATACCATAAAATTTATGCAACGAAAAATTTTGCAAATTTTACCATTTTTGCTCCGTCGCAAGAATTAAAATTGCAAAATTCTGCAGCTCTATTGCCACATGGTGCAATTTAAAAGCTATTTGCAAAAATTCATTATATAAAAATATTAGAATCGCAAGATTTACAAAAAAATTTGCCAAAATAAAAAACCAGAGAATTTTTTTTTTAATTTTTTTTTTCTAATACATATACATGTACTTATGTTGTAAAGAATGTTTCAGCTGATTCTGACGAAAATTGAATTTTTTATGATTTTTAAAAATTGCTAAAAAATGGGCCGAAGTATGTACATGTATGTTGTGTAGAAAGTTTGAGCTGATTCTGATCAAACTTAAGACTTTTTATGAATTTTAAAAGTTTTCCCAGAAGCCATGCTTGTCAGCTCATAGAGCATGTTGCTTATTGTTTTCAAACATTATTAAAAATAATGATCTAAGCCCAACATGTGGTCAAGCAACTTTTTACCAAAAATTAAGACTCTCTACTTTAGGCAAAACGTCACAACATTGGTCTAACCATAAGTTGCCTAGTGTACGTACAGTATGTGTACATATTCACTATGTTGGGCTTTAGACCATTGATCTGTATCAGAACAATAAGGATTTTTCATTCATTTTTGTCATAAATTATTGACTCAAATATTTTGTCATAAATTTTTGTTCTGTTTCTCTTAGGCTAAAGAAAGCTTCTGTAGATAAAAAATTGTCAGAAGAATCATGTAAGTATACAAAATTAATTATAATGTTAACTAATTCCAAGTGCACTGTACATGCATCACAAGAAGTACACTATAGCGGGAAATTTTGGAGGGGATTAAGTTTGGCAAATTTGGCATATTGATAGCCATTTGCCAAAATTAATATCAGCCATTTTGAGCTATTATACGCATGCTCAATGTCATGTGGCCACAAATTAACTAAATTAAAATCCGCCAATCACCAAAATTTAGCAATTTGCCAAATTTTAGACCCTCCAAAATTTCCCACTATAGGGTAATATAAATTGAGAATTTTCTTCTAACCATTTTCAATGAAATACTGTGTACTACATGTAAAATAGTTTTTGACAAAATTTTGAAGCAACTTTTAAAACTCTTAAATAATCCAAATTTGATCAAAATCAGTTCAAATGTTCTTAATTATGTGTATCAGGATTTTTTTCTGAGCCATTTTTGATGAAATTAGTCAGTATTGTTGTTTCGAAATTCTTTAAAATTTTATAATCCATAATGCTTGTCTACTCGACTTGTGCATAGCGTGTGTGCTAACAGATGTGTACTTGTATTGCTACAAATTACTTTGTGTACTGATACAAGAGTGTGTAACTTCTCTCTTTCTACTTCATAATTACAATTTCTTTGTTCTTTTCTCTTCTATAGCTGGTGGTGACCCAATTAATGTAATGGCATTCATATGTAGTGGGCAGGTCAAACTGAGAAAAGCTAAAGTAGAAGAAAAGAAACCTTTAGGTAAAAGTGCCTGTTAGCTTAATTCTTGTTATTATTATTATTATTCTACAGCTCCTGCTGATCCGATGGCTAGTATGATTGCATCAATAAGAAGTGGTAATGTCGCTTTAAGGAAAGTACAGAAAGAAACAAAGGTATGATTTTATTAATTCGAAAATATTAATTTTCCTCCCTCTAGCAATGAATGAAATGGCAAAACTGATAGTAAGTTATGCACATGCATAGCACATGTA